TAAGAAAAGAATGAATTTTATATTTTCATAGAATTATTCATATAACAAGACAGCACGCATTATGAAATTCTCCTTAATTACGTCAACTTTACAGCTTAAAGCAAAATTAACTGGAATGTACTTAACTGTCGCTTTTACGTTCATCTAAATACACAAGCTATACTCATGCACAGATCAGCTCTAGCGAATTCAGTTGTTCTATGACAATATTAAAGTCTTTTCTTCACAGGTAGTCGTTAAAACACTCGGTTAATCCAGGCATTGTTATGCACCAATACCAATCATAACTGAAGATTCTGTACAATTCGAATTAATTCGAAATTGGCAGAATACAGGATAGATGATAGACAGTGATCACTGATTCTTTCGAACATAGAATAAATGAACATCTGAGTAAAAGCATAAAAAGTTTTCCCCTTCTTATTTTGTTCTTTAAGAACAGTAACGTAAAACACACCTATATGTTGTAGTCATAATTCGAATTCAGTCCAATTTGAAACTGGACTAGTCCTAATTCTAATCAGAATGATGACTAGTCCAATACTGCTGATTTCGAATATGTAAAAATCTTGCAGACCTTCTCTCGAAATATTCGGTCAGATTTTGATATGACGTCTCGGTTCTTAGCTCACTATTTTGCAATCTACAAAATGAAAACATCTAAATATCTAACAAGGGCAACAATTTGGAAACGGCAAATGTGAAAATGCAAAAATGATTATTTAGATATTTATCTCTGCAGCTTCAAAAGGAAAAAAGATAGTAGATGTAACTTTAAAATGGTAAAGTCAAGTTTTTTGCAGCTTAAAATGCAAAATGCGAAAAAAGTCAATATCTCCAGTTTTCTAAAAAGAAAATGCCAGAAGTGCATCTTCATCATTATGTGGTGTCAATGACCTAGACGTTCCCTCAACACTAAAGAACGCGTGTCTTTTCTACACGGTCATGCTAAGCGTGTGAAAGTTTCAAGTTCGTTATTCTGCTATTTTGACAGCTGATGATACAACGAACGTCCATTAACGCTTAGGCTCGTAGAGAATTTTGCAAAATGTGTTTTGTGATTGTGTGGTGATGAAGAATTCGTGGATTAATAAATGATTAGTGAAGTGGAACTATCGTGCTTCGTCTGATCTTGTACGCTTTAGAGCTGAGAGAGGCAGAGGTTTTGCAAGTCACAAGTGAAGTCACTAAAAAAAGGTTTCAAGTCAAGTCGAGGACAAAAAACTTTTTCTCCCAAGTCAAGCCATTCCCTCGAAATTTCTTCCTCTAAGTCAAGTCAAGTCTGGTTAACAAATAGGCCGAATATAAAATTTACTAGCACCTTTTGGGTGAGAAGCAGTTTTTATAGTTTGAGAAACTGTGTTTCATGATAAAAAATGCCTAATTGAAACGAAAAACACTTAGTAGGAATGATTTGAGTTGAAAATTTTTTCAAGTTTAGTCACGGTCAAGAGAAAAAGTCTCTGAAGTCAAGACAAGTCACATCCAAAACATTTCCAAGTGAGACGTGACGTGGACTTGAGGCATTTTTTACTTGACTTGCCCAGCTCTGGTACCCCTCGCTTTTACTAATCGAAAAAGAATAGCGAGAAATACGCAAGACTTATAGCGAAAAAGTGACGACAACTTTGATCAAAGTCTATGCTGAATTTCTCATTTTAACGATCTCTTAACTGTTCAGCGGTTCCTTGCCCGCTTTAGAAAACTGTGTGCTATGATAATGTGAATGTAGAGGGTACAACCCATGAGTCGATTGAAACAGTGTCCTGACGCGGACAAACGACGAAATAACAGAAATTTACTCAACGGATGCTTGAAATGCTATTTTTAGCCGTTTAATTAATCTACGAAACGCGTTTCTGTTATTTCGTCGTTTACACGCGTTTAGACACCGTTCCAATTGCCAAAAAAATCTCATTCGATATATCAAGACTGTGATAAGCTCAAAGTTATACTATCAACTGCGAGCTACTAGGATCCGCGAAGGATACGGAGACGGAGAAAAACGCTTTCGACACTACTGTAGTGCACTCTGTTGCCATTGCATATCACTGGTAAGAGGCAAAGCGAACAATGTCCTTCACATGATCATTTTGTAGTAAAAATAAAAGTAGAAGAAATCTATCGACTTTTACCGTTCACAGTGACACCTGCAGATCCACTCATCATATATAAATTTTCTCCTAAATATTCACCATCATTCACCGTATTCCCACTATGTGCAAATGAACCTGTGCTAGCCAAATAATCAGCATATTCTTGAGCAATTTCATTTAATACATCATTAAGTACCAGATCTGGAACACAATGTCTTTTTCG